GTAAGGATGAGAAATAGAGTATATAAGAATTTGAGAAGGTAAAGGAAAAGAAAAACTTACCTGGTGTTGGTGATAGGTTGTGAGGTGGTTGTTGGGAGGTGGTAGGATAGTGAATGATGGATGGTGGTTGATGTGGAGTGGTGCTTGATTAAATATGGACTGATTGGAATCAAGGTAGAGGTCGAAATGGCTAAGAGTGTCCGAACTGAGCCGGGAGATTCAGACTAAGGGCTGTATAAAATAAGAAGACAATATTTCAATAGAAAAAGAAAGTTAAACAAAAATAAATAAGTACCTAGATAGGTTGCGTCCTATCAAGCGCTTTGGTTTATAGTATTTAGCTAGACTTGCAAAGAAAGAGACTTAGTTCAAATATGATCTTGTCCTAAAAAAAGTCTTTTTTGAAATCCTCCTGTTCTCTCTTGCAGGTTCTTCATCACTCCAGAGTTCTTCCAGTTCGAATGCCTGTGCTTTATGCTTTTCTCCTTTGCTCTTAAGTGATGTAGCTTCGTAGAAGATGTCCTTGTCGATATTTGCAAAAGAATCTCTCCGGTTGGGCCAATCCATGATGGCTCCAGCAGTTGCTATGAAAGGTCATCCAAGGATAACTGAATATGAGTCATCATTGGTCTTGACTATGTAAAGATCAACCTCTTGGAGTTGCACTTGAATCATGTGCTAAGCTAATTTTTGTCCTAGTACTTGAAATGTGTTTAATGCCAAGTCTCAAAGCAGTAGCCTTGGACATCGGGTTAATACAAGCTCCAGAATCACAAAGAGCATTGTGAAATCTTTCACCTCTAATGACACAAGAGATACGAAATTGACCTTTGTTTTGAACTTTGTGCAGGGTTTGGACTTGTCTTCCTTCTTGGGCCTGTGTGAACAAGTCTTTCATGTCTTGGATAGATTCTTTGCTATCACTGAAGAAGTGTGATAACACCTGATTTTGACCATTTTTATGGATCACTTTCAATATCTTACGAAGGTGTTTTCGCTCAGTTTTAAGGGTTTTATAAGTGTTTTCCATGTTTTGGAGTTTTAAAAAGACTTTTCAGGAAACTTGGATTCTTGGAATGCAAAAGTACATTTTTGGATACATTATACAAGAGACAACCAGCTTTCCAACACACTTGGAATCAATGAAATCCAATGGTTAGATCTCTAGATATCATTCAATCTTTGTCTCCTCTTGAATGTCTCCAAATTTGAGCTGGAACAGACGGTGAGAAGGTCTTCATTCAAGGATGAACTTCTGACGGTCTGACTTTGTGCTAAAAATGTGGATTTCTTCCATTTACCATATTTTTTTCCTAATTTTCCTGAAATGAGCCTTAAAACTACAAAAATAAAAAAAACTATAATAAAAGTTCATAAAACTAACTAAAACTTTTGAAAAAGCATTAAATCAATGATGAAAATGGGTACAAATAAGTCATTTGCAAAGAAAAAGACTTAGTTAAAATAAGATCTTGTCTTAAGACAAGTCCTTTTCAAAATATTCCTGTTCTCTCTAGCGCGTTCTTCATCACTCCAGAGTTCTTCTGGTTTGAATGCTTGTGCTTTATGATTTCCTCCTTTGCTCTTAAGTGGTGTAGCTTTGTAGAAGATGTCTTTGCCGATATTTGCGAAAGAAACTCTCTGGTTGGGCCAATCCATGATGGCTCCAGCAGTTGCTAAGAAAGGCCATCCAAGGATAACTGGTTATGAATCATCTTTGGTCTTCACTATGTAGAAATCGACAGGTGCTAGGCAATCTCCAATCCTTATAGGAATGTCTCAGGCTATCCCTCTTGGAGTTGCACTTGAATCATCTGCTAAGCTAATCTTTGTCCTGGTACTTGAAATGTATTTTGATGCCAAGTCTCACAGCAGTAGCTTTGGACATCATGTTAAAGCAAGCTCTAGAATCACAAAGAACATTGAGAAATCTTTCACCTCTAATGTCACAAGAGATAAGAAATTGACCTTTGTCTTGAACTTTGTGCAGAGTTTGAACTGTTCTACCTTCTCGGGCATGTGTGAACAAGTCTTTCATCTCTTGGATAAATTCTTTGCTGTAACAGAAGAAGTGGCCGATCATGTACTCACTACATGCTTTGTCAAACGAAATCTTTTGGGCAGACTCTGAACTACTTGATTTAACTCTTCAAGTTTTTCTTTCCTGATCTTGTTTGTGTAATCATTGGCTTCTTGTGGGTCTTTGAGATGGATCATGTAAATAGCTGCATCAGGTGATGATCTACGAAAATATAGGTACCTGGCTCTCCTGAAATATGTGTAGATGTTCTCCTTAGTTTCCTTGCTGTATCTGAAGAAAACTTGAAAGCAGCCTTGCTTCCAGATATCATCGAATCCATGGTAGAGAGGAATGGACTTCACAAATTTGTTGAATTCGATGATAAGTCTCTTTTTGAATATGCTCTTGGTTATTGGTTCAGAGTTGCTACTAGATGAATTGTCTCCAGGGTTTACAACTTCAATAAACAAACCATACTCTTCATCTTCTGAGAATTGCTCTTGAAGCTCATATTCGCAAGTTTAAACCATGTTGCAAGGTGAATAAGTGTTAGATTCCTCCTTTCCTTTTGATGCTTGTGCAGTGATTGAGAAGACAACTTGATCAAAAAACCAAGATCTGGTCACAAGGGTTCGGTCTTCAGTTGAACAGGTTTCAGAAAGAGGTTGAAAGGACTCCCAGTCTGAAAAATCAGGCTCCACAGCGGGTGAAGTGCTCTGGGCCGCAGTGGAAGTGTTCCTGGCCATGGGTGAGGTGATCGAATCCGCGGTCAGCTCCTTCCGACTCACCATGCTTGCTTCTTCATTCTCTTCTTCTCCATTGTTGTTCTCTTGCTTCCAGTGGTTGTCAGGCATGTCTTGGGCATCCAAATTATTGGTTACAGTGCTCAGATCATACTTCTTATGATCTTTAGAAAGTTTCTCAACTTTTTCTTCTACTTCATCTAGAGCATAAACAATTCTATCTAAAGTAGCATCAAGCTCTTCAGTCTTGTTTGTGATCTTTGCCATCTCTTCATTCATCTCCAACTTGTCTCTGTCGGAGTACCACTTGTTATCTTTGAAGTCTCTCTCCGAATCTTCGATCATGACACTACAGCTTCGTCTGTTTTTAAGTGCAGAAAGAAGGGTGATTGTGTTCTCTCCCTCTCCTTATTCAACGTCTTTAAGCCTTTGCTCTAGGATTGCATCATCCTTGAGCTCTTGTTCCTTTAGAGTCTTCATATGTTTAGAGAGATACTCGAGCTTCCTGCAAAAATCAATGGACATGGATTCCAATTTAAAAACAAAGATTAGATTCGGCAATAGCTTGTAAATCAAGAAACTGATTCAGCTTGGTGTCTAATTGATTTTGTTGGAGCCTAAATCGATCATTCTCATTGTTCTGGTGCAGAATCTGATAAGGCAAAGGATGAGATGGTCGTGGGTTCACCAGGGGTGGCAAATAGGGTTCATCTCGATAGGTTGGAGTTCGCGAGCCTCCAAGGTGGTGGTTCGGATGAGGGATCCGATCCAGGTGGTTGGAATCACGCCTGAGTGGTGATTCACATGCGCAGGGAGCTTCACACAGGTTTTAAAACATTCACTCAGGATTAGGGTTTCTTCTTGGATGATCCATGCTTCAAGGAATCTGAAACTAGGGCAAGCAGAAGAAAGAATAAGCAGAAAAATAAAAAGTTAGGGTGTTTATGAGTTCGGTTTACTTCCTATGGTATTTTGGCAAAAACTCGACATATATATAGCCTTCTGCGGTTGAACCTTCTTCGGTTTAAACCTCCAACAGCTACAGACTTCCCCGTCAACAGATCTTCTAGGTCTTATTTAGGGCTTCTGCAAAGAGAAATGGCGAAATGGGCTTTGATGTTGGGCCTTGTAGCTCGGCACAGGTCCACCGGGGGTGAGAGTCTTCCGGGGCAGGTAAAATGCTTGTTTGCCGCGGGTGAGAGTCTTCCAGGACTGGTGAATTTCGCAACTTGTTCTCCATGTATCTGTTGATTGCACCGTTGGATCTTCCTGATGTAAAGTGCTATGGAAAGCTGGTTGTGTCCTCTTAAATGTCTCTAAATTTGAGCTGGATCAGACGGTGAGAAAGTCTGCATTTGAGGCTGAACTTCTGACGATCTGATTCTAAGCTAAATATGTGGTTCTCTTTAATTTTGCCATCTTTTTTACTAAGTTTCCTGAAAAGAGCCTTGAAACTACAAACATAGAGAAATCATAATAAAAGTTCCTTAAACTGATTAAAAAATTTGAAAAATAATTTGAAATCAATGTAAAAAATGGTACAAATACAGTGTTATCAAACTGTCAAAAGTCTCATTTCCTATTCGTATTCATATTCACAGTTTTTCAATTGGTATCAGAGCAGGTCGCCTTAGATATTCAGTTCTCATTTACAGGTTGAGATCCTGAGTGTGAATATGGACATGGGAAAGGACTTGATTTCTGTCCACAAACCATTGATGCTTGAACCTGCAAACTATGGTCATTAGAAGGTTCAGATGATGGCGAGTATCAGAAGTATTGATGAAGATGCTTGGACTGCAGTCCAGACTGGTTGAAAAGAGCCCACTATGGTTGATAAGAATAACATGGAAGATGCAAAACGGATATCTCTGTGGACCGATGATGAAAAGAAAGCCTCAAAGGTTAATTCCAAAGCCTTGTCTGCAATTTTCTGCAGAATATGTATGAAGGCAACTTCGTCAGTCAAGAGATAGAGGCTTGACACCCTGGCTTCTAAATTTGAAAATTTGAAGATGATAGATGAAGACACCATTGCTGGCTTTAGTGCAAAGATCTCCTTCGTTGCTAATGAGGCACAAGTTCTTGGCAAAATATGCAAGAATAAGAAGCTAGTAAAGACACTCATTAGATGTCTTCCTCCTAAGTTCGTAGCACAAAGAGCTATTATGAATGTTGCAATGAATTCTGATGAACTGAAATATGAGGAGCTGGTGTGAACTTTACAAGCAGAAGAAATGGATGTTGTCAGTGAAATTTCAAAACCATCAAGAAGTGTAGCATTTGTATCTGGAGATGAAGTGGAAAAATTCCAAGAGATCAAGGACAGTATGGCATTGATGGCAAAAAGTTTTGGGAAGGCTCTGAAGTGGGTAGAGAGAGGTCGGAACAGAGCAGCTAATCGGATCGCAAGAAATGAAAATAAAAGGCCTGCAAGTTGAAATTTCAGAAATAATGGTGAAAAATCTGAAAAGAAACTCAAGTTTCAGTGCTATGAATGCAATGGCTATGGTCATTTAAAGTCAGAATGTCCTATTACTAAAAGAAAAGAGCTAAAGTGTCATGAGTGCAGAGGCATCAGACATACCAGAGCAGAATGTCCAAATCTGCAGAAGAACAAGGAGAAATCATTCATAAGTGTCAGTTACACTGAATCTGAAGAGGACAAAGAGGGTGAGGATTTTCTGAATTTTTTAGCATTCCTGGGTGATGGAGCAAAAGAGACCGGAGAAGCTAACTCAGACATAGATGATGAAAATGACTCGGAACTTGATCCTAAGATGGAATTCAGAAAACTTTATGATAGCTGGATTGTTCTGAGCAATGAGAAACTCCAACTTACTAAAGACAAGCTGATGTTGGAGGCAAATGTGAACATTCTTGAGATTGAACTGGAGCAAGACACTGGAAAAAGAGCTCAGAAGTCTCAACAAACACAGGACTTAGAGGCCAAAGTAAAACTACTGCAGGAAAATCTGAGTCAAGCTTTAGACAAAAACAAAGCCCTTGAGCAAGAAGTGAATGACGACTACAGGAAAGTTAGGATGTTGAACAAAGGAACAAAGAGACTTGATCAGATGTTTGCTAGTGGTCGAACTGGTAAAGCAAACTGGGCTTAGGGTATCAAGGAACTACTTCGAGCTGTTCAATAAAAAATGAGAATCTCATTAAATTTGTCAAAGGAAGTTCACCAGTAGATACCATTTTTTGGCTTGGGGATTAAGGAAGTGTTACATTGAACCCTCATCATTCTTGAAAGTCTGGGTAGAGAAACAGTTTCTTTACGGTGCAGTTGGAGTGAAAGAGCAAATCACAAACAGTTTCTTTACGGAACCTGAGCTGATATGCTCTCTGGCTATGTGGGATACAGTGGAAGCTTCTAAGACTAGTGTTGTTGCCTTTACAACAACTGAAGGTCAGAGAAGTGATGCCTGGTTTTTCGATAACGGTTGCTCCAGACATATGACTGGAAAAAGAGAGGTTTTGACGACATTTGATGAGTCTTTATGAGGTAAAGTGACATTTGGTGATGGTGGTAAAGGCAAGATTCAAGGAAAAGGAAGCCTAGATAATCTTAACCAACCTAGACTGATCAACGTCTACTATGTAGAAGGTCTCAAGGCCAATCTTATCAGCGTAAGTCAACTCTGTGATGATGGATTGACGACGTTATTCACCTAAATCGAATGCAAAACCGTAAATGAGCAGGGTGTGGTGATCTTACATGGGACAAGAGCGCATAACAACTCTTATATGTGGAAAGATTCTGATGTATGTCTGTCAGCTGTGACTTCTGAATTGGACCTTTGGCACAAGAGGTTAGGACACATGAACATCGAGAGTTTAGCAAGGTTAGTAAGTGCTAAATCCGTAAGAGAATTTCCTAGATTGGAAAGCAAGACTCAGATGGTTTGCGGAGCTTGTGCTAAAGGCAAACAGATTAGAGTTCAACATAAGAAGGTAGCTGATGTAGGAACAAAAAGAATATTGGAACTTGTGCATATGGATCTTATCGGTCCAGTTCAGACTGAGAGCATTGCAGGAAGACGCTACATTTTTGTGTTGGTTGATGATTTTTCAAGGTTCACTTGGGTCCGTTTTCTGAGCAATAAAGTTGAAACTGCGAGCTTCAAAATACTCGATCTTCAGTTAAAAAAACAACAGAAGGGGTATAGTAGAAATCCATAGTGATCAAGGACGAGAACATGATAATGAAATACTTGATCAGTTCTGTAGATCACATGGTATACAACACCAGTTCTCAGCTCCTAGAACGCTTCAGTAAAATGGCATTGTTGAAAGGACAAATATAACACTGCAGAAAATGGCAAGAGCCATGATGCAAGGGACTAACGTTTCCAAGAGATTTTGGGCTGAACCCATTAATACAACTTGCTACATTATCAATACAATCTATGTTCGACCAGGAACAAACACTACACCGTATGAAATCTGGAAGGGAAAGACGCCTAATCTGAGCTATTTCCATGTTTTTGGATGTACTTGTTACATACTTGATGATAAGGGAAACCTTGGAAAATTCAATGCGAGAAGTGATGAAGGTATATTCTTGGACTACTCCACACACAATCACTATAAGAAAACAATCGTTTTCCAATGGTCTGTTACGATGGTTTATAAATCGTCGCAAATATACAACGATTTAACGACGATTTTACGAGGAAAAAAACAAACCATCGTAAAACCGTCGTAAAATAAAATCGTCGTAACATCGACGTATGATTTCTGATGCTTTACGACGATTATACATCGATAAAGAGAGATTTGCTTTTCAATGCAAAATCGTCGTAAAATGGATGTAATGTTACGACGAATATACGATGACTAAAATCCGATGTACAGTTACGAAGATTTTACGTCGACAAAGAAGGTAGGTGAAGAACATTTAAAACATGTTCACCTAACGAATGTCGATGAAATGTTTTATCGCACAATCGACGTATATGAAGATTGGATGTAAAAGCAATGTAAAAAACCGTCGTAAAAGCGTCGTAAAGTCTGAAATTTTGTGATAAATACATCTTCATTTCTTCTTTCATTCACAACATATCATCATTTAAACATAAGAGCATCAGGATCCTGGAGACCCATTTAAGGTCTCTTAAACCTTATTATTGTGTTGTAAAACCCGATATATTGGGTTGTTCATTGCTGGAAACCCAAATTATTAGTAATTTCTTTGAAAAAAGAAGTAATAATAGAAAAAGGTTTCTCCATTCACGCGGCTACACGTGACACAAGAGACCGTCTCTTATATTGTCTAAGCAATAGAGAGAGACAGTTTTTTTTAGTTATTTTCAAGATATCTATATACGAGCTAAGAAGCTGGATGTATATGCTTAAAGATTCAGATGGGGCGTTGACAGAAAAATTCAAGAACGGGTTAGAAATATTCATGTATCAGACAACAAATATGGAGAGAATGAAAGAAAGCGGGAAGATGTTTTGTCCTTGTTTGAAATGCAAGAATACAAGGTATACACTAACCAAAACCGTGTGGACGCATTTATTAAATAGATGGTTTATGCCACAATATTTTGTTTGGTATCTACGTGGAGAAGGATATGGCAGCAATACTCATAGGAATGCTGGTAGTAGTAGTAATTATCAAAGTCATGTTGATTTTGATGAATCAAATTATGGTCATCAGCCTAATCAGTATCAATCTGATCAAGGTCTAGATCATGATAGGATGCATGAGATGATGACTGATGCATTTCATGAAACACATAATGGTAATGCTGTTGAGGAACCTAATGTAGATGCCAAACGATTTTACGATTTATTAGATAATGCTAATCAGCCAAGCTACGAAGGATGTAGAGAAGGTCTGTCTAAATTATCGTTGGCAGCTAGGATGATGTCAATTAAAACAGATCATAACCTGGCTAAGGTTTGCATGGATGATTGGACTGATCTTCTGAAAGAGTATCTACCGGAGGATAACTTGGCAGCGGCAACATACTATGAAATACAGAAGTTGATTTTTAGTCTTGGTCTACCTTCTGAGATGATAGATGTATGTGTTGACAATTGTATGATTTTCTGGAAAGATGATGATCAGCTTGAGGAATGTCGATTTTGCCTAAAACCAAGATACAGGCCGTGGGCGTAAAAGGATACCGTACCAACGTTTGTGGTATCTCCTTATAACTGATAGGTTGAAACGGCTTTATCAATCTGAAAGGACAGCTGCATTATGAGATGGCATGCAGAACATACACAAGTAGATGGAGAAGTTGTTCATCCATCAGATGCAAAGGCATGGAAACACTTCAATACGGTATACCCAGATTTTGCTAAGTTCAAATGGAATGTCTATCTTGGTCTGTGCACTGATGGTGTTAGTCCATTTAGTATGTCTGGTAGACAATATTCATTATGGCCAATAATCCTAACCCCTTATAACCTTCCTCCAGATATGTGCATGCAAAGGGAATTTCTTTTCCTTAGTATTTTGGTTCCAGGTCCCAATCATCCGAAGCGAGCTCTCGATGAATTTCTGCAGCCACTCATACATGAGTTGAATCAGTTATGGTATACCGGCGTTCGCACATATGACTGTTCAACAAGGAAAAATTTTACTTACTTTGTGGGTTGTGCTTATGTGGACAATAAGCGATTTTCCCACTTATGGTATGCTATCAGGATGGACTACACATGGGAGGTTATCTTGTCCTTATTGTCTTGATCGAACTGATGCGTTTCAGCTAAAACATGGTAGAAAAACCTGTTGGTTTGATTGTCACCGCAGGTTTTTACCGGATAACCATCCATATCGGAGGAACAAGAGATTATTTAGGAAGAACAAAAGTGTGCATGTCCTTCCACCCGTAAATTTAACAGGAGCTGATATACATGCGCAAATCGAGCATTGGGGGCAGAGGAAACAGTAACACGTGGGGGAAACTGGCACACTCCTGCAAATATGCCTAAAGGTTATGGAGTTCATCATAATTGGCACAAGAAAAGTATTTTTTTGCAACTACCCTATTGGAAAGATCATTTGCTCGGACACAATCTTGATGTCATGCACATTGAGAAAAATTTATTTAATAACATCATGCATACATTTATGAACGTAACGGGAAGAACAAAAGACAATGGTAAGTCAAGATTGGACTTGCCTGATTTATGCAACAGAAGTGAGTTGAATATACTAAGAAACGGGAAAGCACCAATTCATGTATTTCGGTTGAGTGCAAATCAGAAGTCAGTATTGTTCAAATGGGTTTCATCTGACGTTAAGTTTCCTGATGGGTATGTTTCTAATCTTTCTAAATCTGTTGAGTAGGGGGTAAAGTTTGCAGGGATAAAAAGTCATGACTGCCACGTGTTTATGCAACGATTATTTCCATTTGTATTTGCTGAACTCTTGCCCAAAAATGTCCATAAAGCTGTTGGAGGTAAAATAATTACTACTTAACTACACTCTAGCTATTCCTATTATACTTTGTACACTCTAGCATTGGTGTTTTTTTCCGAGATCTTAGTACACGAACATTATCAGCTGATGTAATAGCACAACTGGCATCGAATATTCCAATCTTGTTGTGCAATTTGGAAAAAATCTTCCCACCATCATTTTTTGATGTTATGAAACATCTTCCTGTTTATCTCCCTCATGAAGCAGAGCTCGGTGGACCAGTTCAGTACAGGTGGATGTATCCGTTCGAGCGTTTCATGAAGCATCTTAAGAGTAAAGCCAAAAGCCTAGCAAAAGTGGAAGGTTCAAATGTGGCGGGAAGCTTGACGCAAGAGACTTCGCATTTCACTTCGTACTATTTTGCACCAAAAATACAAACACGCAAAAGAGCTACTCGTCGATATGATGATGGAGAAGTAGGACAAACATATGCAGTTGAAGGTGTATCTGACATATTCTCGCCGATCGGACGTCTTAGTGGAAAACTGAAGGAAGTTTGGTGGTCCAATGAAAAAGATTATCACAGTGCACATACGTATATCCTGCTAAACTGCGAAGAGTTATCATCGTACGAGAGGTATATTTTTCACTATATTTATATAGATCAGTGCACATACGTATATCTATATAAATCAGTCGGTCTTAATTATAGTTGTTTTTGCAGCACATTCGTTGACGAGGTTAAAGAATGCATCTTTGGGGTTTCTGAAACTGAAATTTTAAAGATCAACACTATGCCTAGTAGTTAAAAGCGCAAGTACGTATAAAATATAAATAAAAAGATTTTGATATTCAACATGGTTGCATGCATATTTGCAAAATTAAATAATTAAAGCAAGATTTTTTTCTGATTAGGTGGACCCGAATGATCCGGATGAATTTCCAACATGGTTTCATGAGTTACTCCTCGGTCCGATGGCAAAAATAACGACAGCCTCCATGTATTTCACTCGGGGCTATGTTTTTCACACATACAATTACGGTGCAAAGCGGGCGACAACTAACTATGGAGTTCGTGTGAGGGGTGAAATAGATTTTTATGGAGTTCTGCAAGAAATAATTGAAGCGGATATCCTAGATTCTTAAGGCTGAAAACTGTTCTCTTCAAATGTGGCTGGTTTGATCCAACTGTTGGAAGAGGGGTACGACTAAATAAATTTGGAGTTATTGATGTGAACAAATCAAGACGGTACAACAGGTTTGAGCCATTTATATTAGCTTCTCAAGCGGAACAGATCACATTTCTGCCATACCCCCGAGTTCGAGCAACAGGAATCTCATGGTTAGCAGTAGTTAAAGTGGCTCCGAGGGACAAGATTGTAGGGTTGAGGATGTTCCACTGCAACAGGACACTTGCATAGATCTGACTGAACTAGATGTTGATGAGGAGATTTTCTTAATTGACCCTCAGAACAGGCAAGTTGAAGATCTCCCCGATGATACAGAAGAAGAAAGTGATGAGTTTTATGAAACCGAGGACGATGATGAAGATTTGGCGGAAGACGACACTGATGGTGACGAAGAACTAGAAAAAGATGAATCTGATTGATTTTCATGCATGGTTTTAGGGAGTGTTTGTTATTATGTAATTTGTAATTGTATTTGTTTGAATGTTTTTTTAATGATAATTATAACCATTACGACGGTTTTACGACGATTTTTGTAAACCCTAAACCCCAAGTTTATGCCTTATACCCTGAATGAATAGTATTTGTGTATTACGACGACTTTACGAACATCAGTCGTAACTTCGTCGTACTTTTATGACGATTTTACAATGCAATTTGAAAACCGTCATTAAATCGTCGTAACGGTCAAATACAAATTTATAATCTTTATATCTGATTGGTTTTTAACTATTTCACCAATGTTTTTGATAGGTTATCTTATTTTATATAAAAAGAATTCATTCTGATAAAAATCAGAAATTTGAAAATTTCATACATATTTACAAGTTCATGCATTTTTGTAAATGGTAAGTAAAAAAATTATATATTAGATATGATATTTGAAATATTTGTTATCTCATTCAACAAATAAGTCATACATGTAAAGTGATGAACTTTTTCCGATATGATAGTTTGAAATCAGCTTTGCATTGTCCTTAATGCAATAATCCTTTTGAAAGTTTAGGGTTTGATTAATTTTTTAAATAAGATCGTAAAACCGTCGGAATATCGTCGTAATATTTTGATGGTTTTACGATGTCTATTCATTGAACGGTCGTAAAACCATCGTAATGTTGATGACGATCATACCTCTAACAGCCACCGGATTGGCTCCAGATCCGAGGTAAACTCTGAGTATTACGATGGTTTTACGAAGATATGATGAACAATCGTCGTAAAACCGTCGTAATGCTCAAACGCTGTGAGCAGGCCACGTGTCGTGTCATGCACTGGTACGTTAGTTTTACAACCAAATCGACATAAAATCGTCATAACGTTACGACGATTTTACGACGATGAGAAAATCTATATAAGGGACGCGAGTTTTTCCTCATTCGTTGCTCATTCCTCACTTCTCTCTCTCTCTAGCTCTCCCTCCCCTCCCTCCTCTCCAGTCTTTGTGAGTTTTTTTTTTTAAGTTTTTTTTATTTTAATTTATATTCCTGTTTATAATTTTAATAGTTATATAGATATAATTAGGGGAATTCGTTAAATTTGGAATTTAGATAGGCCTGGAATTTAGAAATAAATTATATCGTTAGTACTTATATTTAATTTAATTTTGTAGATTATTCAGATGGCTCCTCGGACCGAGAGGTTCCACTACCGGGATATGGTTGATCCGGACGCTTTCGCTCCGTCCACCTCAGCTGCGGGGTACGCCATCCCGGAATCCTCGGGAACACAACGTACGATTTTGCAACCGGTCGTTGTCCCACCGCCACCACCACCAACACAACAAGCACCACCAGCCGCAGCCCCGATACAGCCTGAACCGTATGCCCAATTTACGGTTAAGGATCTTCTACGGCAACCGGGTCGTGCTGGTATGAAGAAACTTGATTCGGATCGAGCTCCGAGAACGTTTTGGTACAATTTTCATTTTTTTACAAATTTTTTTTAAAAGATTTATATTTATAATTAATTTAAATATCTAACCAAATTTGTTTTTTAATGACTAGGTTTACGACTGATAACGCAGTCGGTCGGAACGTTTCCGACATCATCAAGGGTTTCTTCGTCCAACTCCATACCAGCTGGAAGAAGCTGGATCAGGCAACTATTGACATTTGGTTCAAGTGTTTCGCGATAAGTTATTTAAAGTTACGAATTGTTTTATTATTATTTTTTTTATAATAATTACTAACTCTTTTTTTTTGTAGCAAAACTGGCATTGGAAAACTTCTGCACACGAACGTGTGAAGACGACCTTCAAAGAGAAGGTTAAGTTCCGGCTCAATAACACCGTTTCCGACTGGAAACGGAAGTGGGAGGTCGATGGCAACAAGGCCAAGCCGGCGCCAATGGCCGATACCGTCTGAGAGGGTATGGTGCACCATTGGTTGACCCCGCACAATCAGACTATTGCCGCCAAGTGTTCCACATCCAGGTTTGTTTGTAATTTAAATTAATATGTGTTTATAATATAATATTATATTAATTACAAATCTAGTTAATAAATTTTTCATTTTCAGGAACGCTACTGACGATGCGGGAAATCCAAAGAACGTTCCGCACACTTCCGGCCAGGTTCCTTTTCCCGGGAAACGACTTATGATGATAAGTTTTTATTAATAAGTTTTTTTTTCAATAAACCTTATTTGTCTTATTAATAATTTCAAATTGATTTTGTAGGTCGAAAAAAACGGGGGAGAACTTCCTCCGATGACAAAGGTCTGCGCCGAGACCCATAAGAAGAAAAACGGCAAATTCACGGATCCTCGGGCCAAGGCGATCTACTACGCAGCATGTGCGAGGATCGAGGAGCGGCAAATGCAGGTCACGCAGCAGGCACCTCCGACGTCTCTTGGAGGTAGCTCGGTCTAGTCCACACCGACCTTGACGGTGGCGGAGATGGACCAGATCTTCGAAGTGGTAAGTTTAATTTACTTTATTTTTTTATATTTTGTTTAATTTTAACTATATATAGTGTTTTACATAAGTTTTCTAAGTTTTTTCAGTTTACCCCTCGGAAGAAGGGCAGGGTATCAGGGATGGGATCATCCGTGATACCCCGATCGCTACGGCGACTGGTCATGTCCAGGCAGAGGATCTAGTCGTTATCCGCTAGGAGCTCTACCAGATGCGGCGCAGTACGAGACAAAGATCGACCAGTTGTACGGTCTCTTCGAGATTATTGGCGCCAACAACCTGTTGCTCCAGGCACAGTTGGACAGGCTGCGGGGATCTGGAGTCGTCGGAGCATCTTCTTCATCCTCGAGGAGGCAACCACCGGTGCAGACGGACGAGGAGATGTTCCGGTCTCTCGGGGTTGATCCTCGTAGAGCCGGGGATCAGGTGGCGCCGGAAGCCTCCAACCGAAGAGCCAGCAAGGAAATTGCGGACTAAGATGGGGATCCGGAGCGGAACGATGCGGGAATAGATGACATTAGTTTAGATATAGATCTTTGATAGGTTTTTTTGTAATTAATATAAATTTTTTTATTTTTTATTTTAATTTTAATTAAAATATTAATTTTTTTTATTTCAGTGAATATTTTAATTCAAACTATTTTTTTTATTTCATTATAACAAAAACGTCGTATGATCGTCGTAATATATTTATTATTTATTTAATAAATCGTCGTAAGATCGTCGTAAAAAAATATAAAACAGTACGACCCAATAATGACAAAATATTTTTCGTATAATATACGATGTATTATACGATGAATATACGTCGCTGTTTTACGATGTCAAAAATAAAAAATAAAAATAAAACGACTGAATTACAACGAAATGTTCATCGTATAATATACGACAAACCTACGTCGGTTGTTAACGATGATTTTCCGCCGATAACGCTGAAAACCAAATTGAGGCAAATCAATATAAAATCGTCGTAAACATTACGACGCATTTACGACGTTCTATTTACGACGATGTTACGATGATTTTTAACCGTCCTAGATTTTACGACGATTTTACGACCAAATGTCGTTTACGACGATGTATTTATGACGGTTTAGAAACCGTCGCTATTTCGTCGTAATAGTGGTTTTACAACGAACTTACGACGGTTTCAGCCGTTGTAAAACGATGTTTTTCTTGTAGTGTATGGCTTACCGTGTGTTCCACAAGAGGACTCAAGCAATTATGGAATCTATCAATGTTGTGTTTGATGACAAAGGAGGCCCGGTCATCACAGAAATCAGTAGAGAAAACACAAAGGAGTGGTGCTATCTCTGTCGGAGACAAAACAGATGATGGTCTGGTCAAACAGGACACAGTAGAAGTGTTAGAATTAGACACACAGCAATTGCAGGTTCACAGAAATCACTCTGTAGAGGATGTCATCGGAGATATTGCAGAGAAATCAGAATATGAAGAAAGAAAAAAAACTTTAGGGAAATAGTGATGTTTGCCTGTTTTGTTTCATCAATTGAACCAAAGGGAATCACAGAAGCATTAGATGACGAGTTTTGGGTGATAACAATGCATGAAGAATTTGAGCAATTCACAAAAAAATGAAGTCTGGGACTTAGTACCAAGACCAAAGTCAGTAAATGTGGTCAGTACTAAATGGAAATTTAAGAATAAGACTGATGATGAAGGCAACATTTTTAGGAACAAAGCAAGGTTAGTTACTCAGGGGTACTCCCAGATTAAAGGAGTCGATTTTGATGAAACATTTTCTCCTGTAGCACGGTTGGAGTCAATAAGACTACTCCTTGGAATTTCCTGCATCTTAAAGATCAAGTTACATCAAATGGATGTAAAAAGTGTTTTTCTAAATGGTTTTCTTCACGTAGAAGTATTTGTGGCGCAACCTAAAGGTTTCAAAGATCCAGATCATCCAGACCACATATATAAGCTTAAGAAGGCTTTGTATGGTTTAAAACAGGCCCCTATAACCTGGTATGAAAGACTTACACAGTTTCTGATGAAGAAATGGCTTTAAGCGAGGGAGTGTGGATCAGACTCTTTTCATGTATGATGAACGGACGAATATATTGGTAATTCAAGTGTATGTAGATGACATACTGTTTGGTGGAACCAAACAATCTATGGTGGATCAGTTTGTTAAGACAATGTCAAGCGAGTTTGAAAAGAGTATGGTGGGAGAGTTGAACTACTTCTTGGGCCTACAGATTAAGCAGACTCAAGAAGGTAAAACTGTATCTCAGAGTACAAATGCATAAAATATGATCAATAGATTCGAAATGCAGATGAGCAAATCAGCCAGAACACCTATGAGCACGACTGTGAAGCTGGAAAAGGATGATGATGGAGTTAAAGTAAATGAGAAGTTATACAGGTCTATGATCGGTAGTCTACTTTATCTTACAGCAAGTAGACTGGATATCTGTCTCAGTGTTGGGATGTGTGCTCGCTATCAAGCTAGTCCAAGATAGTCACACTTGAATGCTGTTAAACGCAT